TATATATATATATATACATAATAAATATACACAGAACACACACATATATTATGCAAACAAAAACTTTTATTTTGGATGCGATTAGTCGTTTGACAGAACTATATATATATATATATATAAGAACTATTTTGTAATAGTATCTTTTACAAGTTCGTACCTACAAACAGGGCTACATATTACTATAACTTAAGAAACAAAGCAAAAAATGTTTATCATAGCTCATGACTGTTCTGTGATTACCAGCAACCGACTCAAGTTAGGAAACAGCTTCATCTAGTGTTTCATCCCTGATAAGACATGACAAAAGAAAATTATTTTAGGCTTTAGAGACACTTGCAAGACTCTATTGAACACTGAGCATTCAAAAAAACACAAGAGTGCATGCAATCAGAAAGCTGATTACATTAAACCAGGACGAGAAACTGACCTGACAGATGAAAGGCAGGCGCTCATGGCAGCAAGCATCCATCCATCCAAACCTGTCCTGTTCTTCCTTAAGAAGTTTTCCACAAAACATGCTCACTGGGTGCTTTGGAAACTCTTGATGCCATGATGCATACTTCACATACGGCCCACTGGTCCACAGCCAGGGCGAACAAGTGAAGAGCATACTCCGTTCAAGCCCGATCCACACTCCATCAGTGATTGCTTTATCCTGCAGCATCTGTGTGATGTACTCGTGTGCCATGGCATTTAAAATGTGCGCCAGTGTCTGGTGGTGAGTTTTGCAGTATCCTAGTGCATCAATCCAACTTTTTGAATCATTGATATAGGTATAGCTGTCTGAAATAGACATTAAACAAAATTTCGGTCATTTTACTATAATATTATAATAGGTCATGATGAAAGTTACTTTAGTCCAGTGTATAAATAAGGACTAGTAATGTTCTGGATGGCAGTGTAATCAGACTCATTTTTATTGTATGTATTTGACTCACATTGGCAGATGACTCCAGCATCTTTATAATGATTGCAGTTCTGTATGTCCCATCCAGGAGATCTACATATCTTTAGAGTTTGCTCATTTCCATAACAATTTACATTATTCATCCATATTGGTCCTGAGCCATTCCCAAAAAAAGCACCTTTTCTTGCCTCTATAGCATCCCCACAGCCCATCTCTCTACACACCACTGCAGCGTCTGATAGATCCCAGCCATCATCACACACTGTTCCCCATATTCCATTATGAAGAACCTCCACTCTTCCAGAGCAAGAGCTGGAACCATTCTGCAGTCGAAGTTTGGCTAATAAACAATAAATGAACAGGTCAGAAAGGTTGATGACACCAGTCTGAACTCTTAAAAATGAAGGTTCTTTATTTGGCATCCGTGGTTCCATGCAGTATCTTTACCATCCATGGAAACTTTTCATTCCACTAAAGGTTCTTTAGATTATTAAAATGCTCTTTGCACATAAAAAAAAAAAGGTCTTTAGGAAAAATCTTCTAGAAACTGTTTAGGAATGGTTCTTTGAGAAATGAAAAATTAGTCTTCTATGACATTGCTGCGAAAACCCCTTTTGTAGAGACAGACATAAATTTGCTTTTATTCATTGTTTGCATATTACTGACATGAACAATTATGTTAAGAAATGCAGCAGTATTGAAGTATTATGTAAGGCAGTAGACCTTTATAATGCAGCGTTATTCACTTACGTCCACAGATAACACCAGCATATTTTTCATGGCTGCAGTTTTGTCGAACTCTTCCGCTTAATACACAGTTCTTCAGTGTAGACTCTGTTCCATTACAACTCACATTGTTCATCCATACTGGTCCTGATCCTTGTCTAAAATAAGCAGCACTCTTTACCTCTGTCACATCCTAACATCCTATCTCTCTACACACCACTGCAGCATCTGATGCATCCCAGCCATCATCACACACTGTTCCCCACGTGGCGAACC